TGTTATTATAGTTTCCTTAAAATAGTTTTCTATCTGAGTTTTTCATGTTTGGCAATAAACCTGTTTCTGATTCATCAAATTATTCCTAAAATTGCCCGATTGAATGTAAAGAACTGGATATTTTATAGCTTGAACAACAAACTTTATTACCACAGATGATGATTACAGTAACAAAAAGATCAAATATAATATAAATATGTGTTTTTAAGGAGTAAACTCTTGATAAATAATGCTTAGGAAAGAGTGCGGTTAAATTCAAAGCAATGTAAACCAGATTATTTTCAATTTTGGTAAACAAACGTTTGATGGTAAACAATATAATCCCATTTTTTACTACAACTGCTGCACAACAATCATCAATGAGAGGATTGTATATGTACCATCCTATAGCAGACAGACAGACAGACCAGCCATAGTTCTGCTTTAGTCCAGATAGTGATAGAAAATAGAACATGACATCTACATGACATTATATTTCTAACCCTGTGTTGCTAGAAGTCAATAACACTGTTTTTAGTGTTAGTTGAATGAAGTATATTCAGTAAATGTGAGTTTGATGGCAGAGCCGTGGCTTTTTTGATCCCCTCCGTTGTTGTTGTTGTTGTTGTCTTCTTCTTTTCATCGCTGTCTCCTTTATCTTAACACTGAGAGGCTTTTGAGCCAATCAGGACGAGCAGACAGACAGCGCCATGGTAACATGAGACCTTCTTACATGTGGGTGGGCAAAGGCACACTCATTATGCCTCAATAGAGCCACTGGGCTGTTTCCAGGGTAACTATGACTTTCAGGTGTGTGTGTGTGTGTGTGTGTGTGTGTGTGTGTGTGTGTGTGTGTGTGTGTGTTGTGTGTGTGTGTGTGTGTGTGTGTGTGTGTGTGTGTGTGTGTGTGTGTGTGTGTGTGTGTGTGTGTGTGTGTGTGTGTGTGTGTGTGTGCGTGTGCGTGTGTGTGTGTGTGTGTGCGTGTGCGTGTGCGTGTGTGTGCGTCAGAGTGTCTCTGTGTGTGTGTGGTAGTGTTGTGTGTGTGTGTGTGTGCGTAGAGTGTCGTGTGTGTGTGTGTGTGTGTGTGCGTCAGAGTGTCTCTGTGTGTGTGTGTGTGTGTGTGTGTGTGTGTGTGTGCGTCAGAGTGTCTCTGTGTGTGTGTGTGTGTGTGTGTGTGTGTGTGTGCGTCAGAGTGTCTCTGTGTGTGTGTGTGTGTGTGTGTGTGTGTGTGTGTGTGTGTGTGCGTCAGAGTGTCTCTGTGTGTGTGTGTGTGTGTGTGTGTGTGTGTGTGTGGTGTGGTGTGGTGCGTCAGAGTGTCTCTGGGTGTGTGTGTGTGTGTGTGTGTGTGTGTGTGTGTGTGTGTGTGTATCAAATTGCCTTGTGGTCAGTAAGTTCGTGTTGGACTGAAAACACAATGTGCCGAAAACAACAGCAGTCAGTGAACGTCACGTAAGCCGTTGAGTTCAGGGCTTCTTTTTTTTTTACGGGAAAAGCATCAACGAAAATTGCGAAGTAGGGAAAATATATTTTGAGGTTTCGTGGTTTGCGGATGTAATCGTCGGCAGGGTAGCTTGTGGATTTACTCCAGGTGGAACTAAAGTCTGATTTAAGACTTGATTATATTTCACATCATTCATCCACATCTGCAAAGTAACTAAAGGTATAAATACATGTAGTGGAGTACAAGTACACCATGTACCTCTGAACTGTAGAGGAGCAGAGTGGAAATACTTAAGTACCTCAAAGTAAGTACAGTACTTGAGTAAATCTACTTAGTTACTACCTCCACTGCATGTTGTGTGTGCTAGCAGCCCTATAATCCACACTATACATACAATAAATCAATGTGAATTCTGTTTCTAATTTGTTTAGTTGTAATAATCTATAAAAATACTGTTAAAGAACCGTATCGATAAGCAGTACTTGTAATTGTTTCAATCAGGCCTCATTATTTCACAGTGGCACAGGATCATCTGCCAATACAAGCACTTTAGTTCATGTTCAATCCATAATAAAATATACAATTATAGTTGGAACTTTTTGTCTTGTTATTATTAGCAGAGAAAATGTAATGTTTGTAAAACTATATACAATTCATTCTACCAATCTGGATGGGAACCGGGTTGGGGGGGGGGCTCGGAAATACTTCCAATTACCCAAGGGGGGCCTCACTGAAAAAGGTTGGGACCCACTGCTCTAACTGCTGCCTCAATTTCTGGTTTATTTCTTTATCATTTTGGCTGTTAAACAGATTTTGCTGTCCATTTCTTAATCGAGATCGTCCTACAACTAATTACCCACTTCCTCGACCTCACATCGAGCCGAGAGACACGGCAAGCTCTCTTGCTGTTTTATTATTTGCACGTTGTTGGCATATACAGTGAGTTTAGTGTTATGCTGTTGTGCCACATGTATTGTTCACATCTGGAACGCCTTGTGAGGAATGCTTTGGCGATGTTAGTTTAAAATGTGGTCATGCCAATAAAGCCCCTTTGTTGCTCTCATCCTCCTCACATCAAAGTGCTCTCTTTTCTCCTCGCTTCAAAGCCGGGGTTGAAAAGTCAGCAGCTGCATAGTAATCGGGGGATAAGGCTTTAGTATTCACACACACACTCTTCACACACACAACCTTTCTCACCGTGTCTGTCACAGATTAGCCGTTGTGATTTTTTTATCTCCATTGGTTCAGTCTCTCCGTCTCATTATCCTGATCCGATGCCTCGTGTTGATCGTGGGTCACATCGCCTCCCCTCACCCTTGTTGGTTCAATAATTCATTATAGTGTGAGTTAAACACGTCCTACACACTGTGTGTAAAGGCTGCTGGGGGGATAATACCGTTTACTTTCCATTGAGATTGTTTTAGACTCATCTAATCTGATTTATTCTGAGGAAATGTTGTGAGTAAGTGATAGAAAACAGATACAAGATTGAAGAAAAAAAGATTATTTTGTGTTAAAAGTAATTTTTTTAATTGCCTTTTTGTGCCAATTCCCAACAAAATCACAATTCCTGTTGTTTAACACTGAATTTCATATCATCATCATCATCATCATCATCATCATCATCATCACCATCATCTACGATAACAGGAGCTCAATGAGTATACAGAGCTTGAGTATATCGTGTGTAGAGAACATGTGACTCAGACATCCTTGAGCACACACTCATAAACGAGAACAAAAAATACAATAATGAGGCAGATGGGTGCAGTTTTGAAGATAAACACACACACACACACACACACACACACACACACACACACACACACACACACACACACACACACACACACACAGGACCACTCTCATGATCCCTACCAGCATATCTATTGGGTATAATATTAAGTTATATGTTTTATTATCAACTACCTATCCTTACTATGTAATACAATGGAAATATAATACAGTATATAATGCAATATACAGTATTACAAATGACCATAATGCAGTGGCCAGAATAAAGATATTTAAATATGTCATAGGCATTTATTCAAAGTGTAGTATGAGGTTAGTTTGTGTGTATTGTATAAAATGTGTGTTGTGTTTGAGAGAGAGCCGAGTAAACAGAGGTCTCTGCATTCCAAATGAAATGCATCCATGTTTGAGTCCTGTGTGTGTGTGTGTGTGTGTGTGTGTGTGTGTGTGTGTGTGTGTGTGTGTGTGTGTGTGTGTGTGTGTGTGTGTGTGTGTGTGTGTGTGTGTGTGTGTGTGTGTGTGGTGTGTGTGTGTGTGTGTGGTGTGTGTGTGTGTGTGTGTGTGTGTGTGTGTGTGTGTGTGTGTGTGTGTGTGTGTGTGTGTGTGTGTGTGTGTGTGTGTGTGTGTGTGTGTAGCAGGTGTGAGGCCAGACTTTGACCCGGGGTTTCTTCCTGTCCATCTGGAGGCAAACAGTAGGAGATTCTCTGAACTCAACACTGAGCTCAGTGTCTGAACAGCTGAGAGGGGAAACGCCGCTTTACAACTGCACCCAAACACACCGTCCAGACGTCTACTGTGTGTTCATTTAAATTTCATTTCATCTTTATTTGTTCCGTTCATGGTATGCACAACTTAAAGGGGACCTATCATGCAAAATGCACTTGTGTACGTCTTTTATACATGAATATGTGTCCCCGGTGTTCCAGGGAACTCACCAAGTGTCAGAAAACACAACCCTCTCTATTTTCCTCCATACCCAAATCTCTAAAAAAGGGGCTGCAACGGATCTGATAAAAACTGATCCAGATTTGAACACTGTCCTGACGTCAGGACGGTGGCGCTACAGCTATTGGGCCAACTCTCCACCTATCAGGGGAATGTGGGGTTGGGCCACGGCCGGCCATTGCCGCTCGAAAGCGCTGGATACGCTGTAGTACATATGCCAGGCCTGTAAGTGGCGCTGTAGTCTCCCACAAAAGCAGCGAAGAAGACTTCCCGCGCATGGTTGCTATAGTTACCCTTCTGTTTATTTTCCGCTGTGGCTTTCTTTCTCCCTCCCCGAGGCAAGCGTTTGCTCCCGCTGCTTTAATTCAATGCAATCCCTCCCCGTCGAGGCAAGCACTGTAATTCTCTCCGGTTAGTCCACCAGCAGATGACAAACACCCACCTCTCCGCCTCTTCCAAGGAACGAGGGGACCGTGCGGCAGAGTTTCAGTTGTTCGCCGGTCAAGATGTCCGTTAAAGTTGAAATCTTCCGGACAAAATTAGAAAAGTGCCGGTCAAAGGTCTTCTTTGTTATTTATTGAGCTTTAAAACAAATGAATAACGACTCTATAGGCCTATAATAATATAATAAAACACGGAGCTTTTTTAGAGCTTTCCACCATTCAACACCTTAACATCTTGACTAAATGAATACATAAATAATGCATAAACTGTATAAAAGACAAATACTTAAA